TAGCGCGAGCGAAGCCGCGGTATCTGCTAGTATAATATATAAGTACTGTTTTAAAACTTTATAAATAAATTGATTTTAATAATATCATGATATAATATTTTGGCACATTAACACACGTCACCATCTAGTCCATGGTAAACTACGATGCTTGTGTTATGGATACCAGATAGTTGATAAGCTACACATATATATTACTTTAAATACTTACGTATTATAAATATAAACATCCATGACTGGAGTACAAACATTCTTGCTCATTACACAAATGAATGCCCCCAGCAAGACTCGAACCCGCGACCGCTGGCGCAGCAAGTAGGATCACTACAAACTGAGCCAAACGTATCGTCAACGATTTTAACACTTAATTACATACATAGGGTAAATGCTAAAACGCAGTACTTTGGTCGATGGTATGTACATACTTTTCTAGAAGCTTCCTGACGCGACTAGAACACATGTCAAATGATTAATAAGACGTCGGAAGTTATTCGTTCGACATTGCACTCTTGGTGGGTGACCTCGTGCTAGTAATTACGTCACAATTTCCGTAAAGGTAAGCTTTTGATTATAATGTTTTAGTTTGCTTTCATAAAAAAAATATATTTAAATTGTTTCACATAAATATCGATTTTATGTAAAACAATTATGTAAGTTAAAATCTTCTATACATTTTCATAGCTTAGCCTCATTCAAATTCCTTTCAAAGTGAACATGAGAACATATAAAAGTTTGAAATGATAACACACTAGAAAACTTTGTGACTGATTTTAATCATTCGTTCATGCATTTTATTCATTCACGTTTAATCATCTTATTAGGTAGGTATACGAGCTGACCCGGCAAACTTTGTTCTGCTATATAAATTATTACCTATCAAAGAATCTAACGTACAAGGTACAAAAATACTAAAATCGCGATTAAAAAATGGTGGGGGGGGGGGCGGTGGTGTGCAGAAGGGTGAAAAATACTTTATTTTATAACCTATTCTCATACCTACCAAATATACATTTTTTTTACTAAAATCGGTCGAGTCGTTTTTGATTAGTGCGACCACAAACACCGTGACACGAGATATTTATATATTAGACTAGCATTGCCCACGGCTCCGCCCGCGTTAAGATTACCAAAAAAGAAATTATAGGTTTTACATATTAGTACGAGAATACTCTTACAATGCAGTTCTTGTATTTTTTCTTAGAACTGAGATATTTTCATATTTTCATTTATATTTTCAGACAGACAGACAGAAAGACAGACAAAAAATCTAAAAACTATAGATTCACCCTCTATATCTGTGATAATAATGTCTATTTCAATAAGATTTTCCAAAAAATATTTGATGTACAGATTTGACTTAGAATTTTATTAGGTATATGTATGTATAGATAAAGATAAATAGGTCAAGACAAAGCAATTCAACAGCTTTTTCTCCACTGTTTGTCAACAGAATTTCTTTTTTTTTTGTTATCAATAAAAATAATTTAGAAACAGTAAGTTTTTTATATAGATATGTATATTGTATATTCTATTTACATATTTATGTTTTCCTTAAATTTTCTATAATGATTATGGTAGAATTTCGACCGCTTGTCAACATAATTGAACGAAGAACGTAAAAATAGATTTTACATTCTTTTCTTTGACATTCTATTCTTCATTCATTATTTTAATTTTACGTGCATAATTTGTTTTACAATGAACAAACACGAGCGAAATTCCATTCATTATTCATTTGACGCAATTTTCTACGACATATATTAGTAAGGTTTATAGATAAAGATCGCTAAAAATAAAAGCAGCAAAATAGTAATAAATGTGACTGCTACACAATACTATTCCAACTGCGGCACTAAGAGTAGAGTTTATAAAAATCGACCCGTCTTATCAACAACCAAGTAAATATATATATATATATATATATATATATATATATATATATATATATATATATATATATATATACACCCTAGAAGCATTGATCGTATGCTGCCTACCAATTCCATATATTGCAACATAGTTTGTAATTTCTACTCTATATTATACTTTCAAAGTGATAAAAATGTTTTTGATTAGTTTATGGAATCTTACTAATATTATAAATATGAAAGATTAGATGTTTGGATATTTGGATGGATGTTTGTTCCTCAATCACGCTACAACGGCTGAACGGATCTGGATGAAATTTGGCACAGAGATAGATTATAGTCTAGAATAGCACATATCCTTTTTATCCCAGAAAAATGTACGGTTCCCGTGGGATACATTTGTTTTTGTTCTTCTAGAAGTGAACCCGAGCAAAGCGACGGTGAGCCCCTAGTTATTAAATATTTAGATTTTCTTCTTTTTCATTCGGAAGGAATAATTTAGATTTTTTAAGGGAAGTTATTAATTACTTTTTTTTGTTACTTTAACCGTTTATTTGATTTGTTCCTTTAAAACTTATATGATAATATGATTATATAAGACGGTACCTATATATTATATTATATTTGAATATCTTTAAGCTGGATCCTATGATTACTTGTTTTTAAAAATATTCCAGATTAGCGACTCACCCTGGTTATTTTCCCATACAAGCTTTCAACCTCATTTTCACCACCATTTATAAGGGATGATTTCCGGAATAAAACTATTTTATGGCCTTCCCAGGGTCTCAAACTATCTTCTTACCCATTGGAGCCTATTCTATAAAAACAAACAAAAAAAAATCTTCTGTATCATATTAGAATAGATAATTAGAGCCACCAAGGACCCCGAGCTAGCAGTTATAAGTTCTACTTTAAATTTAAAAAATACCACTAAACAATTATACATAAGAGTTTTTAAAATATATTATTAAATGTATATACAAATTATCTTCAAAGACTTAATAATAACGTAGGTAATTGGATTGTGGTGTTTTGTTCCAATATGAAAGCAACAATTTTCCAAACGAAATAAGGCCGATGTATATTAAATATACGTGTTTCAATTTTAACTAAAATACAATATAGTACTACTATATTGTATGAACTATAGAGCAATTTAATGAGAACATTTAATACTTCCAAAAATCTACGGTTCGAAATAGTTACATACATATTATGTATATACAGTATGTAATATTCTGTATAATAATTTCTAAAGGTTATAAATTGTAGTTCTCTGTTACGTCGAGTTTGTTCGAGCTCATCTCAGAAACTACTGTACGAATTTTCATACGATTTTTCCTATAGAAAGAGGAATTATCTAGGTAGGGTAAAATAAGATAATATATGTAATTTAAGTTGGAAAAAGTCCCTTTTGAGAGCGTCTATAATATTATTAAATCTATACATATAATAAAATTGTAACTGAATCGAATCTTTACATTAAATATTTTTTGGAAAATCTTATTGAAATAGTCATTATTATCGATACAGAGGCCGAATCTATAGTTTTTAGAACTTTTGTCTGTCTGTCTGTCCGTCTGTCTGTCGGTCTGATGTGATGTGTGATGGCATCACGAAAAAACCACTGAAGGGATTTTGATGAAAAATATTAGCTGGTTATCCGAGTTAATATATAGAATAAATTTTATTACCGGAAAATATATAGGTACCTACTAAGCGTTAAAACGTAAGAAGGGACGAAGCCAAGCAGAGCGAGGGTCGCTACTAGCTAGTATGATATAAATTATGATTAAGTTTTTGAAAATTTTTGAATGTCAATCAATCACAAATTTAGATGACACTCAGATGAAACGTAAAGTTTTCTCAGGATTCCATCAGGGGATCTTGATCCCGGATAATCATTGAATTTATTTTTATTTTAGCTTTATCGATAGATGGTGCTGTAAAAACGTTAAGGAATAGAAAGATAACACTTTTACGCAACCGAATTCGAGGATAGAAAGTAAAACTACTTCTTTTATTATCTATGTATTCGTAGGAAAATAACATTATTCTACTATATTTCATCCGCTAACTCCTTATTCGACACATCAGTAGAGGGGACTTTCCACAGCTGTGCCTAATGCTTACGATTCATATCATAGTTATTTCCCAGCCATAGTTTAGAACCAAATCATTTTGCAGAATATAAAAAGCGTAACATTTTTTAGACTGCTAAAAACCTTAATTTAACATAATGCTTACTGCTGAATAAAGTACTAAATAATTACGAATTTCTAATTTTAATTGTAAAGTGGTAGCCTATAGGCAAAGCGCTCATCTGGAAAACCAAGTAAATCAGCGTTAAACGAGGGTCTCGCACCTCTGAGATTTTCAAGAGCTAACCATGTTCAATATGATTATACGAAGGTCGAAGAAGGAAAATATAGTGAGGGAACTCGCATGTGTAACTTCCATTTGGCCAGCGTAGTAGATTATAGCCTATGGGGAGGCATAAGCCCAGCGGTAGGACGGTCAAAAGAGTTGAATTATACTAATTATTTTTATTGGGTTATTTAAAGGACAAAGTAAAATATATAGATAATACAAATTCAGTTGCCATAATAATGTCGATGGATTTTTAACAGATTAAAACAGACGAAAACTGAATGCACTAAAAAGGAACGTACGTACGTACAGGGAGTATATAATTTAAGCGTATGTGTTTTTTCTGTGTGTTACACCATTTCTTCGTAAACCATGACCTGATTTTCATGATTATTATTTTTTTAATTATTAAAATACGCCTTTTCTGTGAAATAATTTCGTTTTAAACTAATTTTGAAGTCGGTGTTTTTTTATATTAAAAAGTATTTTATTAAGCAGACAGTATTTTTTTTTCATTTTTTTAACAATAAAAGTAGGTTTAATATGATGATACCTTAAAAAGATTTAAGCTCTTAAGTTTAAGTCTGCTAATATTTCCTTTACTTTGCTTTCTTGAAGGATTTATCTTCAGAATTTCCCACAACTCTAAAGCCGTCTTAAAGTGGAAAGCGATTTTAAACACAGAATAACTGTGTAGCTAAGAATTCATGACAATTGTTAAGTTCTTAGCTTTAATAAGGATAGAATTCTGAATTCTAAAATATGGTAAAGTATGCCAAAGAAATTTAAGCCTTAAGTGAATTAAATGCAGACAATATCTGTACAATACAAAACTTGGTTCTGTACTCGATAGATGATGTAGATTTGTATTCTGATAATACAGTGAAGGAGAAAATCACGAGGAAACCTGTATGTCTGCGAAGAATGACGAATGCCTGCAGCCTGATCACCCTCGTACTGAATGAAGGAAGGCCCGTGCCCAACAGTGGAACGTTTAATACATATATATATATATATATATATATATATATATATATATATATATATATGTATTTTTAATATTTGCTGAAGAGTTGGCAAGGAGGTTGGCATAATAATAATTATTTTGTTTATTTTGCTTCTTCATATTATATTGCTCGCCGTTACGGGAGCTTTAGTATTGACAGCTAATTATAATACCGTTTCATGTTTCAATCAAAATCCTATGTGCGCTCCATCAATCTTATGTTCTTTGTTTGAACGTAGAGTTGTAACAAAAAGACCAGTCAATCATTTTAATAAATAGTTTGTCATATTTATTAGGTTTATAAATAGAGATATTACATAAGCCAGTTTATAATATACTAATGACTCACCCTCGCTCCGCTCGGGATCGTCTCTAGGTAAGTTTTAACCGTTAGTTTGGAAAATATACACTATACATTATGATTACTGCTCCGCTCTCTTGGTTATTAGCATGATGATACCCTATAAGTCATTCTCAATAAAAGGGCTATCTAATGCAAAAATATTTTTTTTAATCCGATTAGTAGTTCCTGAGATTAGCGCGTGCAGGCAAACAAACAAGCTCTGCCTCTTTATAATATTAGTATACAAGATTCTTATTTTTTATTAATAATATTAAATATAGAAATACTTATTGCTCTTAAACGACAAGAATTATATTATAAAACATTAATTTGTACAATAATGTTTGCAACATCATACTCGTATAATTACAATAATCTTCCATCTCTAACAAATGCAATTTATAACAAACAAACTACATTTAACAAGTCATAGTTGTTAATCTAAAGTTTAAAAAGTAGGTTTTCCGTGAAAATTGAAGTTGATAAACAGGCGAAACATCCCTCGAGTACGGAATATGAACGATCAATCTTCGGTTCCTGAACTGCAGTCTAGATGTTCAAGGCTCGGTCCGCCGGACGGCATTCCACGTTGTGCCGCGCTCGCTGCCGAACGCCTACTAAAAGCCTGAAAGGTAAGAGAACAGTTCGAAATTTAATTTTTTTTCTTTTCTTCTAAACTATAGAATAAACTGTCAGTGTTATATTATAAATGTTTGAGACGGTTAAGATTTTTTAATTTAGGGTTTTATGTATTTTATATTTTTGGAAAATTCATTAAATTAAATTTTTTAATATTTAACATAAATTCTTTAAAGAAAAATATATTTTATATTTATTACTGAGATTTTGATGAATAAATTATTACTTGAGCAGTTATAGCATTAAAAGCGTAAAACTTTTAAAACGTATTTTACGTGTTCGTTTCGATTTAACATTTTGAAAGTATTAAAAAGTTTTATCAAGTTCCGTCGCCGTAAAGTTTACACTCGTTTTTCTTACAAATCTAAAATTCATCAGAGTTTTAAGAGAAGAATTAAGACAAATTAGTTCGATTAGATAAATTTATCGAGAAATGGAAGAGTAAAAATTACAATCATGAAGTTATATTTGTATAATAAGGACGTATAGTACCTATATTTCTGGAAAATTAGGCAGTGTAATATATTTTAATAAGGTACAAGACAATTATTAATATATATACTGATATTACTTACTTTATTGTCAATATAGAAACTATTAAAGTATAAATGAAAATTATAATTTCACAAAGGTTTTATAATAATTATTTAAAATATAATACGAATTAAAACACTCATAATATAGAGAATAAACTTATTATTATACGTTCATTAAAGAATTCGGTTCACGTAAAATACCTATAGGATTGATTTAAAATATTCGTTTCGGCTGTATAACGTATAAAATTTTACCTTCGGGGCTTTCGTTGTTTGACTTCATTACGTAATACTTTCTACACAAAATCAAAGCTTCCGTTACATGCCAATGTTACATATTTTGTGTTTATTTTTCGTAAAAAGTATCTAAAAATAAAATATAATTACGATTACATAATGCCTTTAATCATAGCTTTATAGTTATTTTTTTATAAACATTATTATTAATATTATATAATACAAACTATTTAAATAATAATAACCTAAAATAAAACAATTTGTGATATTTGTAATCATGATGAGTTTAATCACTGAAAGAAAATCTACTCAAATCTCTTTTATAATTAGATTCCCTAGAATATTAAAGAAAATGTTCTATTCAGCGTACATTTTAAGTTCTTTTACGTAAAATACAGCAAAAAATTAAAAAAGGGCGTGGTGAATTCGTACAAAAAGCATGTCCTCCCATAAGCTTAATCGTTTATCTTGCGGAGGAGGTTTTTTTCGAGTAGTCTAAATATTTTAACCAAAGTTTTAACCAAAAAGCTTAGCATTTGAGCTGGGCTCATTGTTAGACAATTTCAATTCTAACTTTTCAGATTAATTATATAACGCTTTATTCTTATTATAACAAAATTCAAAACTTATAATATATTAATATTTATAATAATGATATAAATAAAATAACTTTATAATGTTGTAATAGGGTAACGCCTAGGTTTCTTTTATAGTATATGTAAATGGGCTGCACATTGGTGACTTTTATTCCTATATATATTATATATAAGTAGTGTTTTACAATATAAACATAGTGTATCTTTTAAAAGTTTTCAGACCAAACATCTAGACTTTCTTTATAATGTTAGTAAGATAAAAACTTATCTAGCTAGCTTGTAGTAAAAAAGAATGTTTCCTTGATAAAACTTGATATCTTCAATATTTGAGGTAATTTTCTTTTATGTCCTATACATTTGTTCCATCTGTACAGGGTCATACATTTCCTGAGCGGGTCTCAAATTCGCGTCTTTCGAAATTATACGGCTACACCAAGGGGTTGGCTAATTTATAGCTCAGTTAGTTCCCCAGAGATATTAAAAACAAGTGATTGTCTGTGTAAATTTTATTCATAGTACCTAGCATTCAGAAAATATCTTTTACTGCAAAATTAAACCAAATAAATAATAAAGTATTCAACATTATCAATTTATACCAAAGCAAATAATGAAAATGAACCATTCAGTGAATATTAAGTAACGTCGGTTTCTTAGAAAATTTTGTTTATATTTTCCAATTAAGTACATTTTAGCAGAAATTAAAATTAACGAAACGTCAAGGGAAAGAAACAATAACGAAATGAGAAATTATAATTAAATGCGAAACAAATTTTACTAATTTTTACTAGTAATTACTTTTATTTTAACGAATGAGAGTTTAATTTTTAGATTTTTATGAACTTTAGTCGGATATATTCGTCGTAGAATGGATAAATATCGAAAGCTTCTTAGGTTGGCAGACATTTTAAAATAAAAACGAAGTGACCTAAAAGATTTTTATGTAATCACTAATTCATTTCCAATCCACTCTTCTATATTAATTGCTTCAACTAATTCTATTTTTTAATATAAGATCTAGATACTGCGGTTTTGGACAAGATCTTATTAAGTAAACTTTTAATTTTTGATTTTGTATATAATATAATATCAATAATCTGTGCTTATAGATAAAGCTGTTGTTGTTTTCTTGATAAAAATAGCTATCCGTGAGCTTTTTAGTTTTTTGAACGATAATACAAATAATAGTAAAAAAATCTGTTTGTCTATTTGTTCCTGTTAAATTCGTAACAATTAACTCGATTTATGGAAGTGTTGGATAGTTATAAAATTTGGATTAGAATGGAGTCAGGATCGCAGCGAAATCAGGGTGTCGGATTTTACCATTAAAAATAGCTTTGTCGAATATCCCATACGACAGTTTTACTCCAATGTCTACTTTATACTTATAAGACGGGCATCGGGCGCTTTCCAAAGAAGCTTTTTACCTTAACTAATTCAGAACAAACATTTTTATGTTAATTTCAAATTGGAGAAGAAAATTAAACTCAGGATTTAGGTGTCAGAAAGTTAGGAGGCATTGTTTATTACGGCCCTTATCTACGTTTCCTTTGTTAGAATTTTGAATAAAAAAATTCGGGGTCATATTTAATTTTTCACCGATTTTCAAAGGACGGCGTACTCTGTTTGGTTGTGTTTTTTGTATGTTATTCGATATCTTCGCCAATTGTAAATTACGTTTTATATGTATTTTGTTTGTAATGAATATTTTTTGTACATAAATTCCAAAGTTAATTCCATCCCTACGGAAGGGATATATTTTAAGTGATTTCAATCGGTGTACTTTTTCTAGTCAAAAATTAATTATTACTTTTTCGTATTTTTTCAATTTTATGGTGGTAAAGACAAGAAAAAATACTGACATCTCACACACACCCATCACTTTAAGTATAATAGATTGTGTGAACGACATCAGTTAGTCATATTTTAAAACTTATTATGTATGTATCTATAGGTACATAATGCCGATATATAAGATTCGGAAAGACATTAAAATTTATTACGTACATTCAAAGTTCAGCAACCATTATAAATAGGTTGCGATACGAGCTTGCTGTTACGAAATACTGTAATGTGAACATAAAATTTCGTAGCATCTTCCTAAAATTGACACTTCTTAAACAAAAAAAACTTAAAACAAATGATACAATGTATACTTGTTACGAACTGTCTTTTGTGTGTATTCTGCCAGTTCTTGACATACGGGTGCCAGTGTAAAAGGATATTATAGTGCATTAAAATATTTGCTTTAGGTGAGTATCGAATTTGTATCCATGGGCGTATTATACGATAGTCATATATGTATGTATAGGTATTCACCCTTTTTTAACGTCCCACTTCTGGGTAAGGATCATCCTTCAATGGGAAGGGATCAGGCTATAGTCCAACACGCTGGCGAAGTGAGGATTGACAGACATCACATGTCTTTCAAAAACTTAAGACAAGTATTCATGTTGGAGATGATTCGCACATGATAATATCAGAGGTGCGAGACCCGGGATTTGAACCCACTTCACTCGGTTTCCTAAGGGAACGCTTCATATATAGTGGGTCATATATTGATTACCAATACCGTATCGTTAAAAACACAGATAAAAGGAACAAATTTCATTTATTATTAGCATAATTTGTTAATCTTTTAATCTCATTAGTACAGTAATAGCAGAAACTGTTTCTTTCGTAAACTTTGCCCAAAATATTTAGCTTTTTATATTAGCTTTAATTAAGTTTACTAAAATGGGGTAAAGCTTTTATATTTTATGTAAATGTTTTAGGGCGTCAAGAGATAAGCCTACAAAAAGTAACTCCTCTTTGCGTCTCTTTCTTATCGTCTCACTTCAAAGTGCTTTATTTTGCGGAGGCTGTGTATAAAGATATACATGGAAGTGTAAAATATATTATGATATACTTTCCGGTTTAATAAGACTCTGGGTTTTAAAATTATAGTAAAACGTTGAATTTTAGGTCTAAGTTAAGTTTTTAGTATCCTGAAACTATATATCTATATAAATAAAATGGATTTAAAAAAGAAAAAAAAATTAAAATGGAGAGCATAAAATTTAACACAAGAAGTTAATCTGCATTTTCTGTCTACTAACGAAGTTGCAAAGTCATTTGCCGACAAAACCAATAATTGTATATAATATATAGTTTCCCTCATATCATTTTTATAACACTATAATAATTAATCAAAATAATAATAGAAAAAAAATGTAATAAGTTTTTTATAGCTAGATTTTCACTTATGGTCTTACTTTGTTCACAGGTTTCCTTCGAGTCAACGAAAATCAAGTAAGTTTATATCTATGTAAAATCATCTATACTTAATATTATAAAGAGGTAAAGTTTGTGGGTTCGTTAATTGTGAGTTTGTGACGTTGTAGGGGGGTAATCTCTGGATCTACTGAATCGATTTAGATGAAATTTGGTAAGAAGATAGTTTGAGACCCTGGAAAGACATAGGATACTTTTTATCCCGGAAATTAATCCTTAAGGGGGTGAAAATGGGGATGAAAGTTTGTATGGGGAATCAACCTAGGGACGAACCCGAGCGAAGCGAGGACGAGTAATTAAGTATTATAGTATATAAAAAGTATATAACGTAGGTGCTCCAATCTAACTTATTACATTTAGATCTAAAACAAAAGATCTTTCTACATTCATGTATACCTATAACCTTTTTCCAATACGATCAAAGCCTGAATGCTGGTTTTGTGTACTTCATTTTAGGAAATAAATTGGTATTTGTATTGTACAAGAACGATTTTATCTCAAAGGCTGTTTGTAAATTTGGACGTCGTCCAGCAACCAGCATTCGATGTTTGACCAGTTCCGTTCAGGAATCAAGTCTATTTGCTTCATTAATTTACATTTGCCGAATCCGGTTTAAAGAAACAACTCTACAAGCTTCGTTTAGCAAAATTAGTTAATAAGTTTCTTAAATGAAGATAATGAAATAAATTCTTCCTATATTGATAGAAAAACAAAAACAAATCTATTCCACGGGAACTGTAAATTTTTCCGGGATAAAAAGTAGCAAATGTTTTATTTTGATGTATGACCTATATTATTGTAAGGTTTCATAAAAATCCATTCAATAGGTTTTGCATGAAAGAGTAACAAACTTTCATACATCTATAAATCCACACATCTATACATTCTCGCAAACTTTCGCATTTATTTATATTAATAGGATATTAGTGGATGAGGCAATCGACTTTTTATTATTTTTATCACATAAGCACTTTACGACCAAGAAGATAAATCTCGGCTACTAATTCCCTGAGGCATTTGCTGCACAGTATAAATAATTAAACGCTTTAAAATATATGCATATTAAAAAACACTATTTGCGAGAGTTTAACTTCTGATGTCTTGTTACGTTCACGAAGTTATTTGAGACATTTGAGCGAATTTATAAAATGACAAACCAATCTTCCATTCCGAAGCTAAATCTCTATTCAACTTGACTATGAAACGAATACAAAATTCATGAACATATATCAAGAATACGGCAGATAGTTGTAGATTTAGGAAATATAAATATTTGCCTCGAGCGGAAGCCCGAGCGACAGCTATTATTTCAAACTCGAGCTCTATACGCTACAATATGCTATCTAAGTTTAGGGGTCATGATAATATAGCAACATTAAATTGGCACACAACACTGGAGGCTACAGTAAAACTCTTCATTTAACTGCACATGCTATCGGAAGTTTCGCCTAAATACCGCTTGCCTTTTAGAACGTTTCTATTTTATAAAATAACTTCAAATTAGATTGCTGAGCTCTAAACTTTGAGCTGGCACCGTCCAGAAACTGGCCTGATTTGCGTATCTAATTAAAGTGTACTCTGAATACAAAATGAACACAATGGTCAGTTTATCAACAAAATTTGCATTATTAATTAATTCATGTTATTACTAAGTAGTACATCGAAAATTTTCTCATAGGAATGATAATTATTGTTAGTTTAGCTGGATTGGTCCTAAATATAAACTTAAACCTTTAATTATACTCAAAATTAAGCGTTTATAATTTTTAACCTACTTAAGACGTTACTAAAATATTTTTTGTTTGTTTGTACTGAATAAGCTCTGAAACTACTAAAACGATTTCAATAAAATTTGGTAATAAGATAGTTTAAGACCCTGGGAGGACACAGAATAGTTATGCCTTAAGAGGGAAAAAACAGGAATAAAAGTTTGTATGGGGAAGCAACCTAGGAATGAACGCGAGCGAAGCGAAGTTGAGTCGCTAGTAATGTTTTGTAGTAAAATAATTATTAGCTAGCAATATTGTGTACATAAGACAACTTATCTCTTTAAAGAGATCTCTTCCAGAAGCTCTCGACTGTAGGAAAAAAACATTTCTATAAAATAGGTGCTGAAGGTACAAGCTCTTATAAGACAAAGGTAAACATAAACAAAGTAATGTAGCAATATCACTATATCCACATACATATATAGTACATATAACCCATTTCTTAAAAAGGTCGGTCGTTCAGATCGTTCGTATCAGACGGTCGTGTCTAAATTATTGATTATATTATTTTTGTATATCATCAACAAATCTACGCCAATTTTAAATTTTTATTTTCTGATTTGTAAACTTAATGTATGGCTTAGCTTTTTGAACTTTAACTCAATGTTCGTATACTACATATATATTTTATTATATAGATGTCTTTTTTTAGATCAATATAAACGTATTTTTGAATCGCCTTTTTTATAGAGAAAAGTTAATAATTCAATTCAATTAAAACAGTAATTATAATAATAATACAATCTTTATTGTACCATAAGAATAAATACAGAAATACAGAGATAGAATATGTATAGAATATCGCTAAAACAGCGTTTATAATTCAATAGTAATTTATAATCATTTTTATCTATCGTAATTTTATGCAGCGCCGGATTTAACCTTAGCGCCGCCCCTGGGCATAGTTAAAAATACCGCCCTATTAACGAAATTTTGCATAAAATGGATGAAGTTTCGATAAAGTTTAATTTTTTTTAATTATAAAATTTTTGAAAAATGCAAAAAAATAATTTGTGAATGATTTCAATTTTTCGAAAAATGTACTAGTTATTTTTTATTATTATTCATTTTTTGGAAAATAAACAAAGCATTTTCGATAAGTGCGAAAAGATTTTTTCCGTCCACCCTCCGAATTTTGCCGTCCCTAAATATTTCGCCCTAGTCAGTAGCCCCGAGTATAAATTCAGCACTGATTTTATGGATTTGAATACCTCAGTCCTGAACAAAACTGATGGATGTAACTCAATAAGACTAAAAATCACATTTTATCATGTAACACAAGTGCAAATACACATACTAAAATTTTAAAAGCTTTCATCGTTCTATAATTGTATATAACGCTTTCTAATACACTTAAGTTTTTACTGTTAAAATGATTGGCAAATACAAGAAATAATAATGTTCACTGTGCTATAGTCGAGTTTAGGTACCTTTTGCGGACCGAAACAGATGGACGAAAATGTTCAACGCGCGGATGTGCTTGGGTTATTAGTTTGGGGCAAAGGGCGTGAAGTTATACTCCAACTTTTCCCTACTATGGTGAAAAACAGTATTTATATATATAGGTATATTATATAAAACAAAGTCGGGTTAGTTATGAACATTTATAACTCAAGAACGGCTGGACCGATTTTTATGATCTTTGTTTTGTTACATTTGTTTCCACCCTGAATTGCTATTAAACATAATTTTAATTCATATAAACATCGAAAAAAATCACGAAAAAATGTTTAATTTACATGGCTAATACTGGCTAATAATATATATTTATATCTATTTTTATATTTTATATTATGATGATGATGTTCTCCTATCCGATTCCGGCCACGGCGGCCAATCTCAATTGAGACTAGCCAATTGCGCAGGAGATATTATAGTGCACAAGTGTACGCGCAGACACAAGTGCACTCTCTATTTCTGTCACTCTCATACTGTGGGACAACTGCTCGACAGGACCAGTGAGAATTAAGGCGCAGGACCGACGGCTTTACGTGCTCTCCGAGGCACGGGGGTGAAACACCACCAACGTCCCAACTCCGGGCTGTTACTGAGACTTACTATACTAAGACTTCATAACTAAACTTGGCCCGACCCGGGACTCGAACCCAGGACCTCCGAGTGTGCAGCCGTACATGCTAGCCACTACACCACCGAGGCAGTTACTTTTATATTATAACGTACCTAGGGATGGAATATTTCCGAGCAATTGGGGGTAAACCGGTACTAAATTATATAGATTTGTGTGCACAAAATTTAGAAGTTCTCTAGTAATTCGTAAATAAATCAAAAGGAAAATATGGTAACATGACAAATTTGAATATCTAAAATCGCTTCAAGTTAATCTTAGGCCTTTTCCCGGCAGAAGCAAAAGTTTTACGATAGCGTGATTAAAGTTAAAAGCTGGGACAGACGTTTCGGAGATACTTGTTAATGTTCAATGTAACGAGTTTTGCACTTTCCAAATAAAATAAATGCTTTCGCAATGTAATATTATCTCAATATTATTCAGATACTACTTTCTAAGGGGCTTTTAAGAGAAATTCTGCTAATTTAAAAAAAATTAATATAGCAATTATACGATACTTTATCAAGATTAGCAAAGTACAGTATACAAGCTATGAAAATTAATTAATAAAGGTACTCGCATATGAGTTTATTTAATAGGTTTTAATTGCCCAATGACGATGAACATAATAATATTAATTATTCTAATATACCAAAACGCTTTGTACGTTAAAAATATGCCATAAAATATTTAAAAAAGTTTTTTTATTACCTTATTTTTTTTTATTATTCAATAAAAAACGCATTAGCGAACAGACTTCCCATAAATTTTGTGTCACACGTAGTCGACTTTTTATAATTAACAAAAATAGAATGTATAAAATAAAAATGTAAAATAATTTCAAAGCTTAAAAGTTGTGTTTATGTAAAAATGAAAGCTTTGACTGAAAGCTTTAAATGTTCTACAACGAAAACAATACCCACATGATACTAAAAGTGAAAATCCTGTCCAAATCGACCAGCTATTCTTCTTCTATCTTCTTCATGAAGGCTCTTTTGTCTAATAATTTTAGGTCCATGCTTCTTGCCATTAAATAAGTCTAATATCTTTATTTTACGAACGCAGTATAGGTCTATTATAAGATTTTCTGTTAGTTTTCTTAGTAATACTAAGAAAGGTTTCTGGTATTTTTATGGTTCAAAAATTTATATAGACCATTTCTCGTCCGGTGATCGAAATTTAAC